TTTTTGGTCTGTGGGAGGAAACCGGAGTACCCGGAGAAAACCCACGCATGCACGGAGAGAACATGCAAACTCCACCCAGAAGGCCCCTGGACCGGGGTTTGAACCAGGAACCTGTTCGCTGAGAAGCAGCAGCTCTACCAGTTGTGCCACCGTGCTGCCCACAATAATTATTAATAATAATAATATTATATTATTAACAATAATAATAATTTTCAATAACAGCCCCTCCGGGTCGGCCTGTGCGGCGCACCGGCCGACAACTCCCATTGTTTATCTAGTCCGGGCATGCGGGCAGCTGGTGATGGAAACCATGACCACCAGCTAAAGAGGAAGATGCAGCGCACAGGGCTTTAAAGCTTTACCAGACGCCCAGCACGTTTTCCCCAGCGTCTGTAGCGATATCTCCGGGCAGGCAGTTGAGGAGCCCAGCCGAGGTAAACGAGCACGTTCGCCAGCAGCGGGGGAAGGGGGGGGGGGTCCAGAGTTACGCTCATATTGGTCCAAATAAACGACATCGGCGGCAGAAAATCGAAGATCCAGAAGCTGTTGTCGGTCATACACCAGCAGCAAGTTTATGTCCCAGATAAAAAACAAACAAAACAAAAATAATCCGAACACCATCAGCAGAGGTGGATTGTAAGCCATGTACACGGGCGCCATCTTACCAGAAGTTTTTCATATTTATATATATATATATATATATATATATTTATATATATATATATATATATATATATATATATATAAATTCCTAATGCAACATTATACAGTGAACTCTTTTTGAATAGTAGCTAATTATAGAAACATATGAATTTACTCATGAAACAGTGACTCCATACTGAAGGACAGTTTTGTACAGACTGGCAGGTCTTCAGAGAAGCTGCTGTGAATGACGGGGAGCTAGACCTGGAGGAATACACATTTGTGGTCCTTGAATACATTAGCGAGTGTGTTGATGATAGGGCATTAACGGAGTACTCGAGTAATCTACACATCGATTGCTAGGACCTCTATCGAGGTTAAAAATTTAACATCGAGTATCCGTAGTGACGTCATATTATGTGACCACCGTATGACCGTAGGGGGCGGTGTTGCACTGTTGCAGGACACAGAGTATGGTGTAACACCGGGTCCAATCAACCGAACCAGTTTCGGTTAAGTTTTGTTTTGGACGTGCTGCACGTTTCTTCACGTTTGCAGTTTAATAATAATAACTAATAGTTTAGTTTTTCCTGTGACTTATTTGCAGTATGATCAATGGTAGGAGCATAATATACACTCCCAATGTTTTGTTGGTCTTTTTTGTTGTTGTAAATAATTACCTTTTTTTTGCGGTTTTATTTATTTATTTATTTTTGTATCTTGAGATCTATGACGTCATCAAATACTCGAGTTCTACTCGGGTTTTATTATGTTAATGTCGAGTTTAAAAATTATATACTCGTTCAACCCCTAGTTGATGATGTCACCACCAACAAGACTGTGAAGTGCTACCCAAACAAGGAACCCTGGCTGAAGGCAAAGGTCTGCACCCTGCTGGAAGCCAGGGAATCTGCCATCACATCTCGAAACTTATAGGAGCTGAAGAGGACAAGAACAGTGCTGGCTGCTGCTATGGACCAAAGCCACATATGCACAGAGTGCATATGTGTTGTGACATTTCTCCTCACAACACCCACGGAGCATGTGGAGGGGTATTAACTGCATAACAGACTATAAAGGTAGGGATGCACAATGCCCCAGGGACCCATCACTGCCTGATGCCCTCAACAAGTTCTATGCACAGTTTGAAGACCCGAACAGACCACCAAGCACCAGACTCACCTCACCACCGGAAGAGGAGTTTTTCAGCGTGACCTCAACTGAAGTAACTGGGATTATGGTAGCAGTCTTCAGGCAGGTGGGAACTGTTGCCAGGGTGAGGGAGGAGTTAAAGATGTCGGCCAGCACCTTGCAGAGCTGATGGCACAGTCTTTCAGCACTTTCCCTGGGATGTTGTCTGGGCCAGTGGCTTTGTGAGGATTAATCCTTCTGAAGGTAGTCCTTACTTCAGCTGAGGAGTACCTTCAGAAGGATTAATCCTCACAAAGCCACTGAAGGTAC